TGCATGTGCAGGCTGAGCAGACACAGCTACCAAAGTTCTCCAATCAGCAGTGCAAGGACGCAAGTGCACCTACAATGGAGCACCCATAAGGACGGACACACATCGCGAAGAACCTTCATTACTGCACAAGGTGAGTAACTTCCTCTTTTTGCATCCCAGGATTGCATTCGCTCTTTTGGCCATGGCATAACACCAGGAACTCATATTCAGCCACCCCCAAATCTTTTTCCGAGTCGCTGTTTCCCAGGATAGAGTCCCCCATCCTGTAAGGATGGCCTATATTCTTTGTTCCCACATGTATACATTTACCTGTATACTCCTGGGGGAATTCTGCGCCACTGCACATGCACAGAATTCACGTGCTGCACAGATTTATTTTTTCATAGCAGAAAATACATTCTGCCCCGAAATGCTGCAATTATGCCTTTTGCCCACCAGAGGCCTCTGTGGTGCCAGAACAGAGAGTAGCCACTCCCGGGCACGAGCAGCCCCAGCTGAGGATAGGGAAGAGAAGACATTACATTCCTTACAGTGCCCTGCCCTTGGGGCCACACCAGGGGGCATGAGATATGGGGGGGACGGACAGCATGGGGAATATGGGGCTGCTGGGGAGTCTCAGACTGGGGTTCAGAAGGGCTAGTGGGGGAACAGACTAGAGTGGGGGTGCAGGGACACATGGGATAGGGGACAAGGGTGCAGGGACCCATGGGGCGAGGGGCAGATGTGCCTGACTGAATGAGAGTGGCTAGGGATCAGCCAGGGTCTGCATGGGGGAGGCTCTCTAACAATCCCTCCCCACCCACCCAAAAATGTTCCATACTTCTCCTACCCACACCCAGCTACCCTCCAGATTCACACTCAGGCTCTTTTCCAGCAATTACTTCCCTCTCCCTCAGCTCCTCCATGTGATTAATGTGCATAAGTCTTGTCAAGTACTGTTAGGCCTCAACCTTCCAGAAGTTGTAAGAAGCGGGTACAGCTGAATCCTGCAAGCATAAGCATAATCTATCTAGGAAGCTTTATAGATTAAAAAGGAAACTCTGTAAAGATAGATACAGACTTGTGGTTAAT